GAGAGAGAGAGAGAGAGAGAGAGAGAGAGAGAGAGAGAGAGAGAGAGAGAGAGAGAGAGAGAGAGAGAGTATGTATGCATGCTATTGAATCAGCTGTATGTTTATGTTGTTCTTACGTAGGGAAGCGATTGACTTTATCAGCAAGTGAAATATGGAGGCTGTGATTATCAGCTTGCTTACTCGCGGTCTCTCTCTCTCTCTCTTCTTGCAATGATTTTGGTGGTCTGTCTTGAACAGTTCCTGGATGCAGTTTTGGACTTGATGCAGAAACCACTTTCACGGTTTGATTGACCTCCACAGCTTCTTCCGAGTGTCAAACCGAATTCATATTTTACGGCCCCCACCTCCATCCCTTCCTCCTGTTCTCCCTTGTTCCGTCCATCGTTATCCATTCACTCGTCAATTCTGCAATGATCGGGATTAACCCAATCCATCTGACTGTCCATTTGTCCGTCGATCCATCCGTCCATCCATGTATCCATCCATCCATCCATCCATCCATCCATCCACATGCCCGCCTCTCCATCCATCCATCCATTTGTCCATCCATTTGTCCACTCATCTGTCCATCGGACTCCATCCATTAACCCCATCCATCTGTCCATCATGGGCGGATGCATTCTCACCATCCATCTGTCCATCATGGACAGATGCATTAACACCATCCATCTGTCCATCACACCCCATCCATTAACCCCATCCATCTGTCCATCGCACTCCATCCATTAACCCCATCCATCTGTCCATCGGACTCCATCCATTAACCCCATGGACAGATGGATGGGGTTAATGCATTCGTGATGGTCATCCATCCGTCCATCCGTCCATCCGTCCATTGGGCTCCATCCATTACTCCATCTGTCACCCTTCCATCTTTCCATCCACCTACCCCTCCATCCTTCAATCCACCTACCCCTCCATCCATCCATCCATCCATCCATCCATCCATCCACCCAACCATCCATGAGGAATGTTTGGCTGTAATTCAGATTCCGGTCCAGTTACGTGCAGGGAAGGGGTGCAAGCAGCATTGGTGCGCGCGGTTGAGCAGAGGGAATCGGCAAGCAAGAGGAGAAGCCTGCAAACTTGTCCTCCAGAGAGAAGATCAGCTTCTCTCAACTCTTTTTCACATCTAGTGATCTCAACAGCATTCATCTCTCATTCAGGGCACTGTGGTTTGGGAGCTCCGAAGAGAAGCGGAAGAAGGTTGCCTGCCTTTGCCTGCAAGTCTACAGATGCGGCACTGTGGTTTGGGCTCTTGGAAGAGGAGCGGAATGGCCATTTCCGTTGCAGTTTTCTGTGACAACCAGAAGTGACATCACCTTCGTTCTCCATCCGATCACGTGGCTCGGCTGGGAGGCTCAATCAGCGACTACAGATGTGGCACACAGGAGGGAAGCAACTGCCAGCTGGCTATGGGGTTGTAATGCCCCCGTCTTTCTCAGGTTATTATCTGAATCTGCGCTGCGAGGAGATTTGTGTCCCCCACATTGTGCTGTACGACACACGCAATGTGTGTCCCACAGGATGTCCCACAAGGTGTCCCACAGGATGTCCCCCAGGATGTCCTACAGGATGTCCAGTCCTCACAGACTGTCCTACAGGAGTCTCACAGGATATCCCATGGTACACATGCAATGCACTATGGGACATAATTGGCTGCCCCATATGGTCCGGTGGGACACATGCGGCGTGTCACACGGTGTCCTCTCTACATACAATGTGTGTCCCGCAGGATGTCCCACATGGTCCTGCAGGACACATGCAACGTGTCACACACTGGCCCATGTACATGTTGATGAAAAGCAGGTCCTTATGAGCAGGTTGGAGTTCCCCTTTCGGGCATTGCATTTCCTTTTTCGCCTTTTGCTGGCTTAATAATAACAGAGTACTCCGAATTTTGAACCTTGCACTCAATCCCATAACTTGGGTAGCTCCAAGCTGTCACACTTTGTTTTCTGATTTTACTAAATTTTCAGTCGTTTTTATTTTTTTTTAGTGTTGTAGTAGCTTCAGGCTTCGCATGTGCATGCTGCATAGTTGTCCTTTTTTTTTTTTTTTTCTTGTCAATACTGAGTCAAAATCCAATGCGCGATTAGAACTGCCAAAAGGTACAACAATACAGTAGTGGAGCAACTCTGTTAACATCCACCCAAAGCTAATCTGCAGCAAAACTCCGATTGGTCATGGCGATTTGATGGTGACCCCACATGTTCCTCTGACTTCCTAGAATGTCCCTACAAGACAGCGTTTGCTCCATCTTCGTCTGCGACTCCACTGTAAGCTTCTCTCTCTCTCTCTCTCTCTCTCTCTCTCTCTCTCTCTCTCTCTCTCTCTCTCT